CTCACATGCATGTGAAAGCTGGACAGTGAATAAGGAAGACCATAGAAGAACTGATGCTTTTGAGTTATGGTGTTGGAGGAGAATATTGAAAGTGCCATGGGCTGCCCAAAGAACCAACAGATCTGTTTTGGAAGAAGTGCAGCCAGTGTGCTCCTTGTAGGCCAAGATGGCCAAACTTCATCTCTCATACTTTTGACATATTGTCAGGAGGGACCAGTGGCTGGAGAAGGATGATAGCATGTTTGGTAAGGTGGAGAGTCAGACAAAAAAGAGGAAGACCCCTAGCGAGGTGGATTGGTCAAGTGGCAGCATCAATGGGCTCAAGTGTGGCAACAGTAGTAAGGTTGGCCCAGGATCGGGCAGTGTTTCGTTCTGCTGTGCATAAGGTTGCTATGGGTCAGTACCAACTCGATGGCACCTAACAACAACAGCAAAAAGTATACTACAAGTCTTAAGGCTGCATTAATTGTCCTCTTCCTGAGGCCCTCCCAGCACAAGGTGCATACGGCAGCGCTCTTCGTCATACTGCACTACCATTACTCATCTCTGGAGCCCACAAGGCTGTGCTTGCCTCAAGGATGGGAAAAAGAAAGGCATCACTCACCTGGCTCAGTTTACCCTGGTACTCAGTGAATCTTTCTGGAACGAAGCCTTGAATAGGTAAATGAATGAAAGGCTAGTTTGTCTTTCCCATCCATCATGGTGTCTGAACCCAGAGTGCTCCTGGAGAAGAATCTGGAAGCAGTTTTCCCCAGTCAACCAGATTTTATAGGGTTTGACATGCTCGAGTCGTCCCTAATGTAGCACAGGACTGACTCCAAGCCAAAGGGGATTTCTGAACCCTGGAAGCAAGGTTATTACTCCAGATGTCACAACTGAGTGGGGTCCTCATGGTGGTCGATCACTTTGAGGAGCACTACCAATGCATGAGCCTGGCCCCTCCCAATTTCACTCACTGAGTCACTTTCACTGAGTATCTGCCAGATACTGGGCTAACTAGACACAGAGGACCAATAGGACTTACCCTATAGTTAAGGCCATGGGAATATCAGCAAATAAATAAGACAGATTTCATTTATTCAAGACATACTGACTGAGCACCTTACATGTGCCTGGCTCCATTCTTAGTACTGAGCAAACAGACAAGCATCCCTGTGCTCATGGAGCCTCTATTCTAGTGCGGAGGACAGAGAGTGAATGAAACGAACCACTGAAATACAGAACAGGAGATAATGGCAAGTGCTTAGGGGGGAAACTAAGGCATACGGAGTAGAGAAGAGGCAAGAGGAAGCATTTAGATACGTTGGCAAGGGAGTAACTTAACTCAGAGATGAAAGAAAGGGTTGTGGGGACACAAAGAGGGCACAATTCCTTCAAGAAAAGTGGGAGGGGACTTCAGAGAGGATGTGACTTTTGAGGTAGGGTCTGAGGGATGAACAGCCATTTCTGGAAGGGGCAGGGCAAGGGCATCCAGGTACAGTGAGAGCAGCATTTGTGAGGATAGTATGTTTGAAGAGAAGTGATGGGAGTTGATAGTAGAAGGGTCACTAGGGACCAGATAGTGGAGGAATCTATATCATACAGAGAATGAATTTTGTTCTGTGGGCAATAGGGAGTCAACAGTCTTAGCACTAAGTAGTCAGCGAGTGAGTTTTGAGATCACTAGGGAGGCAGTATGCAGGGCATCCCACAGTGGGGATGAATACAGAACAAAGGGTCATGTAGAAGAAGACTGTGGCATCAGTGTAAGGAGACAACAGGGCTTCTAGTTCCTGGGGAACTTTCCCTTAACCTTGACATCCACAGGATGGGACAGCTCAGCCCTGAATTACATAGCATGCATCCGGACTCATCACTCCCATGGCACTCACTGTTTACATGCCTGAAACAAGTAAATGCCCGCTCCAGAATGCCCATCAGATGGCAGCTCTTTGTCAAACACACACACAAGTTATCATAGTTAGCAGAATTCACAATGAATTCTTCAGTACTTTCAGTGACGGTACACTAAGGTGACTAGATGTCTAGGCTTCTCCATCACCCGTGAAATGACTTTCGGCTTTCTACTTGCACTAAACGTGTGCACTGGTCAAAATGTCAAACTCAGAGGACGAGAACAACAGTTAATAGTCAGGGTCAAGCAAGTGTTTTATTCAGCCTCTCAACCCACTCTCCAGGGTGCCATGTGAAAAAAGAAATAAAGCTTGCTAAGTGTTGTCCCAAATATAACAGCAATGCATGCTCATTCTTGGGATTTTGAACAATTCAGAAAAGTGGAAGGAAGGAAACAAGGCACGCAAATGCTGCTCTCCAGATACACGAGCTCCTAACCATTGTGGTATGGTTCCTTCTGATCTCTCTGAGACTACAGAGAGCTTGTCTTGGTTGCACACAGTTGAGATCACACTTCACACACAATCTCATGACACCACATCATCTTCCGTGACAACAAGTCAAGAGTCCCCAAGGTGAAAGGGACTGTAATGTTCTCCATAATTCTAAGTTTTCATGATTCTCGGAAACACCGACATAAAACTTCTCATTAATTTCAACTGGGAATCCTGGTGTGGCATTGTTGGTTAAGGCGCTGGACTGCAAAATCGGTTTGATCTGCAAGGTCAAGCGGTTCATGCTCACCAGGCACTCCTTGGAAATCCAATTCAGGGTTGCTATGGGTCAGAACTGAATCAATGGCACTTAACTACAACAGCAAAACTCCTACTGATCCATCCCAATTTAACCCTTGGGAGCTGGGTAGAATTCCAACCCCTGCTCCACAGAAAGTGTTTTCAAAGATTCGGAGAAAGTTCTCCTAGTATGTCCCTTTAGTGTTGTCTTCAGAGTGAAGATCAACATTTGTTTCCCTCATTGCCCACGGTGTCATCACTAACCTGGTTCCCTTCTGTCTGGACTAACTCTAGTTTTCAATGTTCAAACTTGGGTTTGAACATAACACTTTAGATGGGACAACTGTTTCATTTTATCTGGCTGCCATATTAAACCTGTCAACCCAGTCTACAGCTATATTTGTTTTCTGACCAGTTGTATATTCCCTGATTTAGACAACTGTTTCTTTTCTGTAAGTATCTGTTACCTCTACTAAATCTCACATTTTCCATTTTGGTCTGATAGCCTAGCCAATTGAGATCATTTCAAGCCCTGATTCTGTCATGCAGCACATTGGCTAGTCTGATGCTTTTCACACGGTAGACATGGACGCCTTCTACGTGCTCATCTGCACTGCATTCTAAATGCTGGAGAGGACGGGCCCCATGCAGCAAGACAACAACCACCACCCTTGCTGGTTAACATCAAGTACACCTCCACCACTGAGCCCATGTATCGTCATCACGGTCTGTCCCTGTGTCGATTCAATCAAGACACTGCATCCAGTAATACTTCCAATGGCTTTGTTCTACTCTAGAAACTTGAAAATCAGTTGCTTAAATGATTAATTCTGAACTTGTTGCCAATGACACCCTGCTCACTGCATCGTTCATTTCCAAAATCTTTTTTCACATCCTGGAAAACAAGAACATTTGCTAGTCCTGGTGTGGCACCGTAGGATAAGCTCTGGATTGCTAACCACAAGGCTGGCAGCTCAAACCCACCAGCTGCTCCTCAGAAACCCCATTCAGATTTGCTATGAGTTGGAACCAACTCAACGACACTTAACAACAACAACAAAGTCTTGCTCAAGAAACAGGATCAATTCATACAGATGAAAGGCCCACTCAGAGAACCCTGTGGCTTGATCCACATCCCAGTCCCTCTGAACACTGTCTTAGGGCTGCTGTCCTAAGCTGGGGTGGCTATCAAAGAGGCCTGCACAGCTAAAACCACAGAAATAAAAAACAGCAATTGTAGAAGTTGGTCTCAATAATGAACTCATCAAAAGAGAAAGAGCCAAAGATGAAATCTCATCTAGATAAGAACTGTCCTGAAGAACTAGAGGGGTGAAAGCAGTAAAGCAATCAAGACAAAGCTAGTTTCCCCAACAGTCTCAGTGACTTGTATATAGGGTGCTGATGTTGTCGCTGCTGCTGTTAGGTGCTGTTGAGTTGTCCCGACTCACGGTGACCCTGTGTCTAACTGTTGCTATACTGGAGCCCACTGTTGCTGCCACTGAATTAACCCTCTTTTTTGCTGATTTTACTTTGCCAAGCATGATGTTCTTTTCTAGGGGCTACTCCCTCTTGATGACATGTCCATGTGCCCTAGACCTATTCCCCTCTATTCCATCCCATCAAAATGAACCTGCCCTTTCAGGTCAACCCAGGCAGGCAATGGCAACCATAACTGTTTCCATGGCAGCCACAGCAACTATCCATGGACACTTCCCTTCTCCATTTCATGGCTCCATGAGCAAGTATAGGGTTTCTCTGAAATGCTGTGGCAGACAGTCCATAGTTGCAGAATGAAAAACTAAAGTGACACTAAGCAATGCCATCATCATTCCAGTTCCCAACTGCTATCTAGTGCTTTGTAGTTAAGCAATTCTACAGCAATCGACTCAAATCACAGATTTTCTGAAGTTTTACACATACAACTGTGCCTGGACCAGCACCCTAGAAATTGGAATGATATGAATTGATCGTGGAAAACAAAACAACCCAGCACATCAAATAGGACCTTAATATTCCCAACTTCTGTTCTCTAGATAGAGTATCTGTACTGTTTGTCAAGTGCCATAAGTGGTCCCCATGTAGTCTGTGATTCTGTAACATCTCCAAATTAGCAAGTGGTTCCAGTTACCAATCCTCCCTACTGTTTTGAGGGACTAACATGTCTTACTTTTAAAAATTGACTCTACTCTCTACATATAGAGATGTTAGTGCAAAATGAGTTTTGCAAAAGCCAAAAATTAAGAGTTGAGCAGCAAATCTATTCCCCGTGTTAATCTGATCCACAACGTTATCTTTAAGAGTTAAGGTCATCTTTATGCACTTAGCGTCTACTTACCGTTTCCAAACTTCTTAAATAAAGACGATAATTTGTGATGTATACTCTTCCCTTAATGGGGCCATTGAAAGGACATATGTAAATAACTTCTTTGTCTATTAAGATAAAAAAAAAGTACCCTAAAATGAATGGAAATATATACCAAAATACACAACAAATGGCACTAATTTAATATACACTGTTTGACTAAAAAGGACTACAATGGAAAAAAATCACTGCAAAAGGCTGATTACTAGCATTGGCAATGTTTGTACATTACTGTACTTGGGCCAGGGTCAAGTTGGGACAGGGAAAGAATTAGCGGGACTACATGTTACCTCCAGGCACCAGCAGTGTTGCACTGAGCTTGCCTACAATGCTGTAATAACTGGCGAGCAGAAGTGAATGAGGCATTGCTGCTGCTCCCCTCACGTAACTATTTAGCTGCTTTAACCAGAGACAGGATGGCCATTCCTGCAAGACAGCCTCATGGGCCAACCATTGGGTTTGCCAATCTCTATCCTCTAGCCAAAATTCATGATATCTTAGTAAATGAATGTCAGCAGTAGAACTACTCTTAGAGTCTCACTAGAATTAAATGAAGAGAAACTAAATCAGAAGGCTAAATTATTATAATGGAACATTTCATTTTCTTATCTTACAAGGATGTTCTTGAATATATTAATGAATTTCAAAGGTTTTTGTTTCTTTCTTTTTAAGATTTTTAAAATTCTGAGATACCCTTCTCCTTGGGTGCTAAATAAAAGCTGCCTAGTCAGGTCACTTCATGCTAGTTCCTTACTACTTTAATTAAGGGTCCTGTGCTGATATACACAGGACTCGAATGTCATTTGTGGAAACCAACAGAAATAAGACATCCTCTTTACTCTTATCTAGAACTTGGCATGGCCACATCTCACTGGTTCCCTTATCAAAATGATGCAAAAATGTGCAAGTCTGGGGCTCTGAACTAGAGCTCCTCACTGGGCCTGGCTAAGCAGCTTACAAAAGTATCGTGTCTACAGTCTTCACCCAGATCTTAGTCAGTAAGCTCAGCAGTTCTCTGAAACTACAGGACTCACATAATCACTAAACCTTGGAGAGCTGAGAGGAGGGTGTCAACCCTAACATAAAATTGGGGTGTCCACAATGTCTTGCTCCAGAAGGTGTCAGAGGCTTCTAGATTCTTAAGCCAGAGTGATCTGGCCTGCCTTTGAATAGGAATATATCATGAAAAAATTAATCAACACATTAAATTGTTACTTCGATATTACTAACTTCTGTTATCTGGCATATGAAACCTAATTAAACTGATAAGTTTCCATCTTTGTCAAAGAAAATACGAAAACTTTAAGTCTTTAAGCTGATCACTTTAAAGCATACATCATAGATTGGAAACTTTATAATCATTTTGTTCTTACAAATTTAAGTCATGAAAGTTTCTACCTCCAATGAGAAACGTTCAAGAGATCATCTATATTCCCCGTAAATAATTTGTAGTCTTTAGCTCAGAGAAAATAACTCATCACTATCCTAGTGAGCATGCTGCTCTTGGAAGAACTTTTGGATCAAGAAACTACTGCTGAGAGTTCTCTCTATAGTAATGCTTCTAAACAAAACAAAGCAAGCCTACTTGTCTCAATTTGACTTCTAAAGACTAAGAGTGGTTGAAGCCACCTGACATTGCAAATTCTAATGTCCCAGGAGCCTTACCAGTAATCTGCATTTCCCCTGGCAGGCGAGGGCCGGCCTCACTGACATCCTGATTAACTCCATCTCGAGAAGTCTGGGAAGAAATGGATGCGATCAGAAGTCAAGACATTATACCTGGACAGGTCTGTAAGCAACTTGGAAAACAATCAACTATAAACATATTTTTTTAATGAAAAAAAAAAGCATTTTTTTTAGGTATTTACCACTATAGAATATTGCCACATAGAATTTGAAGAACGGAAAAAAAAAAAAAAAAAAATGGCACCAACACGCATTAGATGTGAATTTCTCAATGTTAAGACTTCTTAACAACATTAAGTTTCTCAACAACCCTTCCAAGAGGTTTAAAGAGATCAGCTATCATAATGTAGAAAGAAAACGTTTTCATACTAAAAGAAACGTATCTGATGGTAACCAGGGGTGGGAGGGAAAGAAATCAACTTGAGGGCAGTGGGTTTGGGTTTATAGAAACACAGACACTGTGTGGTCTGGGTTTTGGTGGGTTTTTTCCTTCATATTTTTTCATGTCAAATATCCAGTAATCTTTTATTAAGAGTAGGAATGAAAACTTCCATCCACTGGGAACCTTAACAACAGTGCAATAAGGAACTAGAAGCTTTTTACAACATCATACAAATCACTGCTGCTAACCTTGGATTACTCACTTAAGTAGGCTCATTCCTCAGGGTGTTGTAATCAGGTAAAAGTGAGGAGTGGCTTATACAGAACATTTGCACTGCCCAATAATTCCTTTAGGGAGCTCTGGTAGCGTAGTGGTTACGAATCGGGCTGCGAGTCGCAAGGTCAGCAGTTCGAAACTACCAGCAGTTCCGCGGGAGAAAGATGAGGCTTTCTGCTCCCGTAAAGATTTACAGCCTTGGAAACCCTGTACAGGGTCTCTATGACTTGGAATCGACTCCACGGCACATAACAACAACAACAACAATTCCTTTAGAAACCATTCATATGAGGGGGCTTCCAAAAGTTTGTGCGACACTGGAATTCAAAGATAAAGGAATTTTTCCACAAACTTTATGAAACCCTTTTGTACAAATCCCTCATGTTCCCTTCCTATGGCTGCAAGGACTCCCAGGTATGCCTCCTTCCTACTCAATCACGTTGGCAGCTCTTCCAGTTAGCACAGCGTCAGCCACTGAGCACCACAAAGGAGCATGCACCTTGAGAAGGGCAACCCTGGGTGATTCTACTACCTGATGTCAGGCTTTCTAGTCAACTTTCCAAGGGGTCAGGTCCCTCAGAAGGGGCGGGTGGTTGTCCCCCACCCCCCACCCCCAGCAATGCTGCTCATTCTGTTTTTTTGTCTGGCAATTTTCCAACTCACAATGCACTTATTTTATATGTGGTCAGGTGTGGTAAGAATTAAATGACATAGAATACAAGAGAATACTTTTGTGACTTACGAAGAGCTGTAAAAAAGGGTGGCACAAAATAGAAATGGCTTTTCCATTTTTCATATTAAACAAGAGAACTCCATATTGTATACTTCGGTAAGATTTAAGACACCACAAAGGAGTATTCTGCTGAGTTCGTTACTGGTTTTCTCTTTTTTATTCAGGGACAAAAATAAAATTACTAGACAATTTAAAAAGTTTTCATGGTTGGCTAGCAAGACATTTCAAGTAAGTGAACAAAATGAGTTGTTCTCAAGCAAAAAGAGGGTAGAATCAAACAATGATATAAAGGACAAGATTAGGAAGAAATTAGTACTGTCCTGATACTCACTAACTAAAATAAGAACTAACCAACAGTTGTTGTTGATGTTAGGTGCCATCAAGTAGGTACTGACTCATAGCGACATTACACACAGCAGAAATAAACGCTGCCCGATCCTGGGCCAACCTCACTATTGTTGCCACGCTTGAGTCCATCCATGCTGCTACTTGGTCAATACATCTCATTGGGGGTCTTCCTCTTTGTCTCTGACCCTCCACCTTACCAAACATGCTATCCTTCTTCAGCAACTGCTCCCTCCTGACAATATGTCAAAAGTATGAGAGGCGAAGTTTGGTCATCTTGGCCTCCAAGGAGCACTCTGTCTGCACTTCTTCCAAAATGGATCTATTGGTTCTTTTGGCAGCCCATGTTGTTGTTGTTGTTGTCAGGTGCCATCGAGTCGGAACCGACTCATAGCGACTCCATGCACAGCAGAACGAAACAATGTCCGATCCTGGGCCAACCTTACTACTGCTGCCACACTTGAGTCCATCAATGATGCCACCCATGAAACTTTCAATATTCTCCTCCAACACCATAACTCAAAAGCATCAATTCTTCTATGGTCTTCCTTCCTGACTGTCCAGCTTTGACATGCCTATGAGGTTACTGAAAATACCATGGCTTGAGTCAGGTGCACTTTAGTCCCCAAGCTGACATCTTTGCTCTTCAACACCCCAAAAAGATTTGCCTAACACAATACGTCATTTGATTTCTTGACTGCTGCTTCCATGAATGTTGATAGTTGATCAAAGAAGAATGAAGTCCTTGACAACTTCAACCATTTCTCCGTTCATAAGAATGTTGTTTATTGGTCCAGTTTTGAGGATTTTTGTTTTCTTTCTATTGAGATGCAATCCATACCGAAGGCTGTGATCTTTGATCTTCATTAGTAAATACTTTAAGTCCTCTTGACTTTCAGCAGGCAAGGTTGTATCATCTGCATATCGCAGGCTGTTGATGAATCTTCCTCCAATCCTGATGCCACACTTTTCTTCATATAGCCCAGCTTCTCGGATTATTTGCTCAGCATACAGGATGAATAAGTATGGTGAAAGAATACAACCCTGTCGCACACCTTTCTTAATTTTAAACTATTCAGTGTTCCCATGTTCTGTTCAAACAACTGCCTCTTGATCCAGGTTCAGATTACTTATGAGCACAACTAAGTGTTCAGGAATACTCACATTCTGCAATGTTGTCCAAAGCTTGTCATGATCCACAAAGTCAATACCCTTTGCATAGTCAATAAAGACTATCTTTCTGCTTTCAGTCAAGATCCATTGGATCCAGCATTGATATCCCTCGTTCCACGGCCTCTTCTGAATCTGGCTTGAACCTCTGGAAGTGTTCTGTCAAGGTATGCTTGCAGCCATTTCTGTATTACCTTTAGTAAAACTTTACTTGCATGGGATATCAAAGAGATTGCCCGATGATTTCCACACTCTGTTGGGTCACCTCTCTTTGGAATGGGCACAAATACGGAT